TGGCCCAAAGGGGCAACGCTGTCACTGGAATTTGAAATAATTAAGAGGAAATACACGTTATTGCTTTGCTTCCCAGCTTCACAATGCAAATCTCTAGCGACTTATTTTAAAGTGCTGCCACCACAAAGCTGCTTGACATTATCAGTTAACTGACAAAATGTCAAAGTCTTGGAGGTCTTGTGTATCAGCTGTGAATGGTGTTTAGTTGGGGATTTCAACAGCTGTGCGTTTCTATCACAATGGATTGTTTTGCCCCTCTGAGATGAATCGCTCTGATATCGTTGCCTCAATCTTTCAGTCACTGGACACTTTGATTTATCTACATTGCCATTCAGGCTCATTCCAATGGCCGCTAACTCTAGTAGTTTTCTTAAATCTCCTGAACACCACACATTTGTAACTCTTAACTCTTTGTCTGTCCTCTCTTTGCTGCTTTCTATTTTCTTCCTCGGTCCCATGTCTCTTGTTCAATAATTCCCCATTAAAAATCCTGTCTGATAGAAAGGATTTTATATTTTATGAAATATTAGCTGTTACCATGAGTCCAATCAGGAAAGAAGTGCCTTGGTGTGCTATAAAAATATCCTGCTCAGAGAGACTGAGGGCTATGTTTGACCTTGCTCTCTCTGTGTGTGCAAGCATACACAAAGAACTTGTTCAATTGTCATTTTTAGCAGTCACTAAAGCCATGTATTTACACATAATACATTAAGATTTAATGGTTCGCTGACTTGTTCAACACTTAACATGGGTCTTCACTTAACACCACTTCAAATGTCACCCTTATCCTTAACATAAATGAGACTTTACAAAGCCTGAAGGTGTTTATTAGTTTTAGTAATTCTGACAAATACATTATTGTGTCAAATTACCAAATAACAATTACATGTTTTTCTTAGGTTTGAGCTAGAAGCCATTGGTATAGTCACATAAAATCCCAAACGTGTAAACCCTTTAAACTAGGACACAGCGTTATCGTGTATAATTTGGGTTTCTCCAGTTGCTCCTCTAAGGTAAAGCACCTACCACTGTTCAACTGTGCTGATGCACATTTCTTCCTACAGACACCACTGCAGGTCAACAGCTGACTAAGTGGTCAAATAAGATTGAAAGAACCCGAAGGGATGATTGAATCAGCAACTTTAAATGCTGGAGCAAGAACCAGAGTAAGCTGGGCATCAGTCTTGAATATGAGTGACAGCAAGTTTAAAAAAAAGCGTCATAAATGTTTGTTGATGATTCTTTATCGTTTTCAAACTATGCATAGGGTTTTAATCACACTGGATGATCTGTACCATCCTCAAACACTGTCAAAGTATAGTTTGTTTGATATAGAGAAAGAATGCTGAACATTTATTGACACTTGTACATTGCAGGAAAAGGACTTTTATGGCATGGCTAGGCAGAGCGATTGAGCTGGGAAGGTAGCACAGTGCATTAGGGTAAGGGTAGAGATGGAAATGCACTAATTAAGAGAGTGCGTTGAGGAGATGGGAGGACTACTTTGAGGAGCTCATGAATGAAGAAATTATCATAGGCTGACACATGGTTCTTGATGTCAGGGTTTGCCAGGGTTTGTCTTGTTGTCTCGTCTGTGTCCTTTGTCTTTAAGAAACGAAAACGCATGGATTGCTGTAGCAATGATATCACAATATAACGTGATTTTTATTATGTTAAAATGTATATAATGTGGCACAACCCTAGTATACATCTACTCAGAAATGGAACTTCAGCACTTCCTTAGTAACAGATGGCTCCATGAAAATCACTGTTAAATAATTGTCAGGATTTGTGAGACATAATACAGGACAGTGTTTTACCACTTTAAAACCATCATATATTAGCCTTATTATGTTCTACAAAAAAAGGTGATTTTTAAAAGTGTGCATGAAAGAGAGGGCAGCATGAAAAACAGTTTAAATGTTGAGACAAACTGGAGCATACTCATAGTTTATCTCAGCAGTCTGATTCTTAGACACAGTGTTAGTGCATGCTAGCACGTACAGGGCCAGCTGTGACCAGTGCAAGTACACCATTAGCTGACATCCCAACAGAAGATTTCAGAAATTCCAACAACCAGTGGTAAATGAGCAAACTCATCATGATCTGTAATTGATTCAGTGGCAAAAGAAAGAAAGAAAGAAAGAAAGAAAGAAAGAAAGAAAGAAAGAAAGAAAGAAAGAAAGAAAGAAAGAAAGAAAGAAAGAAAGAAAGAAAGAAAACTGTAAGAATGGTTTGCATAATATCTTAAATCACTAGACCTTGAATCAGAAAGATGCTTGCCGTCAGTATCAAGTGTGCATTCTTACAAGGGCACTCAGGGAGTGTAATTCCCCAGAAAGACAAGGACTATATAAAAACTTTAGTGTTTTAATGATGTTTTATTGCAATACAATGACATCAGCCTGTTATGGCATCATTGGTCATTGTTATGTCGTTTGGGTATTGTATTGAAGAAACCAAAAGTGTGTTGTACAGCTCTCCCCATGCCCTTTCATATGATATCACTCGATGCGTTTTTTGTCGAGGTTTTTTAAGGTGAAGGTTGTCCCTGAGACCTAACAATGATGATGAAGTTCAAATGAGTAGTATATTGTTGTGAAATTTAAAAATGATTCATAAAAAATGTGGGTAAGCTTTTTTACTGATTTTGAAATTTGTTGTGAGTCTGACCTTGACCCAATTTTCACCAAAATTTAATCAGCTCGAGTTGTTATTAGTTTCTACTATCACACAAAATTTGACAGTAATGTTAGACAGACAACAAAAAGTAACTGATTAAATATTTCCTCTCTTCAAGGGGAGAATAATGTGATGCAGTCACCTAGCATTGGGGGAAAAATGTGGGTATTAGGAAAGAAAACAGTTTCCATGTCCATTTCCATAGTCCTTTGGTGCTCCGTTTGTTGATTATCCCAAAGGAGTCATTAAGAGGCTTTTCTCTGTCTGGAGCCATGGCATAGATTTTATCACAAAGGACGGTTCTGAAATCATATCTGAAAGCTTTGGAATCCCAGTGAATCCATATGGACTTAACAAAGAGTAAACTCCATATGTCTACTTACATTTTGTATTTTCTCATTTCAGCTTCTTCATGGAAATATTTTCATGCCAATATTTTAAGTATTTCATGTTCTGTTTTTTTGTTTTGGTTTTTTTTTTTTATCTTTATGCCTTGCCCCAACAGAAACGCGTTGTCCAGCTGGATTTAGTGTGTACTTTTGATGGCAACATCACATTTAATCAAACTCAATTTGTTTGACTGTAATGCTACGTTTACACCTTGAGCGAAGAGCAGATTAAAACCTGCTGTCTTTGGATGATTGAATTAGAACATGTTATTAAAAAGGATAATGAGTATGTGAGAGCAAACATTGGGCTTTGATTACTACTCTCATCAAGAGGTAATATTTATCTAAGTGAAAAAACAGCTTATTAAATGTGCAAGCTTATCAGGCAAATAGTATTGGTAAATTAACCACCAGCGCTATCTCAACCCTCCGGATTTTGTTTGCCTATAAACGAGCTATTTTCCAGCCCTCGTTTAGAACAGGCATCTCTCCCCCCAGACCCAAGAAAGGGAACATGAAATGTGTGTATGTTTGATGTAGTCAAATTACTTATGTTAATGTGTTGATAATTAAAAGCTTTATACATGGTCTTCCATACCTTCGAGCATATTTCTCACATCTCTGAAAACAGTGTTGATTTTAGTGTTTGACTCAAAGACAGCTGTGCATACTGCAATGCACAAGCAAGGTTCATTGGAGAAGTCACAGTGACCGAATTGAGCTTTCGATGCCTGAAAATTATGTATGCATGCATAAGTGTTTCATCTAGGAAAATGTATGCAAAGTAATGGGAACAGTAGCAGCAGCAGTGATGGGTAAAAATAGATCCCATATATCGTCATATACAGTAAAACCTATGAGGTAAGTGGCGTAAATATGAGTCTAAATATAAACCTCATACACACAAACATACACAAACACACACACAAGGGCAAACTCTGCAGCTCGTGGAGAGTCTGACGCTGCATTGTAAGCGAACTGATTTGAGAGCCCTTTTTTCCCAGGCAGGTAATTTGATTCTTTGAGGTCGATGTTGTGTGGTTTTGGGGTCGCCCATGTAGCCAGTCCCCACTCTAATAAAACCTGAGAGCGCTGCAGAACCAGGAGGCTAAAACCCCCCATTAACTTCTTTCCCATCAACATGGGGACAGGTAACCTAATGACCCTGCAAAGCTGCAATGCTCCCTAATCATGTGACCTGGGAGTTGCAGAGCTGATGACTAGGCAGCTGGAGCTCGACATCATACCAGGAAAAAACCTACCTCTAGGAATATGAGGAAAACAGATTGTTATTTTGTTAATGATTTTTTTTTTTTTTTACTTGAATGTGGTATGGACTGAGATGGTCTTGCTGGCACTCTCTTTAACCTTAATCCAGAGAAGAATATCTGAACAACTAAATGTGTTCTCCAAAAGTTGATTCTGTTCATCTGGACGTAGCGTTTTGTGGGAGAAACGTTTCGTCACTCATTCAAGTGACTTCTTCAGTCTCAGCTGACTGCAGGTTTCCCCAATCTTATAAACAGTACATTTGCATAATGACTGAAACCAGCCCACTGAAGGAACTAAATGTGTTACTGTCCAAATTTGGTTTGAATACAGTCTAATATAAACAAAGTGTCTCATAAAGAAGCAGAAAGAAGCAGGAAGCTATTATAACTTCCAGATTGCGTCTGTGCTCTGTATAGCATCAATCTTGGGATTTGAAATGACCACACAGTTTTCCTTCAGTGCCACACTTGGGACTAAATTAATATTGCACAACTATGTTGTTAATTTTGTCCATGTTTTGTATGGAATGCTATGACCTGTGAGGCCTGCTAGCAGATCTTGAATTAATACTAACTCTTTCTTTTTCTTCCCTCATTTTTACCCCATTCTTTCCTCCTCTCTCCCCGACCCTCTACACTCTTATTATTTTTCCTTTAGTGGGATGCAATCACAGAGATGGACGAGCACAACCGACCCATCCATACTTTCCAGGTTTGCAATGTGATGGAGCCCAACCAAAACAACTGGCTTCGCTCCAACTGGATTTCACGACAGGCAGCCCAGAAGGTCTACGTGGAGCTCCGCTTCACCTTGCGCGACTGTAACTCAATCCCTTGGGTGTCTGGCACCTGCAAGGAGACCTTCAATCTATTCTATCATGAGACAGATGAGGCACACGGTGTCAAGTTCAGGCCTGCGCAGTACACCAAGATTGACACCATTGCTGCTGATGAGAGCTTTACTCAGATGGATCTTGGAGATCGGATCCTCAAGCTCAATACGGAGGTGCGGGAGGTGGGACCCATAAACAGGAAAGGCTTTTATCTGGCTTTCCAGGACATTGGCGCTTGCATTGCATTAGTGTCTGTGAGGGTTTACTATAAGAAATGTCCATTTACACTGAGGAACCTGGCCTCATTTCCAGACACAGTGCCCCGCGTGGACTCTTCTTCACTGGTGGAAGTGAGGGGGGCCTGTGTTGACCATGCTGAAGAAAGAGACACACCCAAACTGTTCTGTGGAGCTGATGGAGACTGGTTGGTTCCCCTGGGAAGATGTGTCTGTAGTGTTGGGTATGAGGAGATTGATGGTTCATGTGTTGGTAAGTTTTCCAAGTTTTGTATATTTTAACTTGCTTTTCATTCTGCTCAGTGAAGCATTTTTTGAACTCAAAGACATTTTTAGTCAGTCTTTCCAAAGCTCTGAAAGAAAAAGAATTGATGGTGAAGGTGACGCTGCTGTAGGGTTATGAGAACCCTGCAGCTGAATGCTTTGCCCATGGGTTATTGTTAGCAGCCTCTAATTGGAAAAAAGGCTTGTTTTGTTTTTAAACTGTCTTAATACTAATGTTTTGTTCTTGGTTCTTAATTAGCTTTTACTTAGATGTCCTTACCAAACCTTGACTTTAATTAAACCCACCTTTATTAAATTATTTCCCACATTTCTCTTTCTCAAGTGGTCAGAATGATAATAAATCTCAGACTTCACCTAAATGCAAATAGCAGCGGTAATTTCAATTCATTTTGACCATCAATGTTTATTTACAACATATATATAGTAAAAAAGGACATATATATGTGTATATATATATATATTTGACATAAGTATTGATGCATCCACCAGTCAGAAAGATAAGCAATGTGGACAGGTGATGATATGAAACCTGCAGTGCTTCAGTACAATTTACTTCCCATTGTACCATCACATGCAACAACTAGAGAACGCTTTATAGTCCCCACAGTCTATGTACATACTCACTCTTGCTGGTACAAACGTTGAACAATCGCATAATATTATTGTTGTTATTATTATTTTTATTTATTAACCTTCCTATTAACCTATTAACCGTTATTGACCTTCCCTATTCATTTTGACTCATTACCCATATTTTTTTGTTGTTTGTCTTACCATTTTTACTAGCTGCTAATTTTCTCAGATAACAGAGGTGTAGTCACGTGAAAGGTTTTGAATGATTATGAATGTTATTATGGTAGCAGTAGGAGGACCTGATGCTATCTATGTGTTTGTGTGTGTGAACGAGAGAAAGAGAGTGTCTGTTTCAACAGCTTAAAACTGCATATTTTAGTCAAATTTCTAATTTTAGGGCTTTTTTAAAGCAATTTTTGAAAATTTTCAGTGTTTTTTGCCCTTTGGCTACTGTTTAAATTCATATGAAAACATTTTCACAAAACTAAACTCTGCAGTAACTTTGGTTTTGCTTTATGAAAGATTAGTGAGTAGGCTGTTTATTTTTACACAAAGTTTAAACAATTGAGAGGGTTATGAAACCAGAGGTGTTTTTCTGTGTGCTCTGGTGAAAAGCACGTATTTTCCTTACTAGCTGCTAAAATCCAAACATGATAATCTTGTTGTGGTAATTTGTGTGCTTGTAAAATTTAGTATAATGAGTGAAGCTTTAGAAAGCAGTCATAAAGTGAAACATCATACTGGGTCCAGTGTTAAAGCTGGTCCAGGCACCAAAGCTTCACCACAGGATTTTAGGATTGTGGTTTGCATGTGTGTGTCGTGGTGCTTTATACATACAGAGAAATGAACATGTGTCTATGTGTGTTGTGATGAGTCATATGTGTAGGAATGTTGTCGTGTATATCTGTATTCTACCACCCGTTGTCTCAGTGGCTACCTTGGTGTGACAGATTACCTCAGCTGGCTTGGTAGCAGCTTGATCCTCAGCTCTCTGATATGAGCTTTGGGTTATCACTGACAGCACGGCTCACTGGGAATGCTACCTTCAAGAAGTTCCAATGCGACTTCTTTTCATACCAAGTAAAGTCCTGATGTCAGGTCAACAGATACACATGTCTATAATCCAAAGGAGACAGATCCACAATCTAAAAGGTGTCCTAATGTACTTGCAAGTTGCAACTTATCAAAACCATAATATGGAATTTAACTTTATACATTTAACAAATGAAAGGATGAAAGCATCTACTAATATTTATCCTAAGAACTAACAATATACTACAATATCATGGATATAGAACACATTTTAAATTAGTAACTGATCTGAATTCACAGTTTAGCACAACAAAAGACACTGGCTCTTAACAAGTAATCCAAGCTTGTGCAATTAGTTTTGTAAAGATCAAGAAAATATGTAAGATTTACCAGAATGATCAAGATGCATAATCTATAGAAATATTGGCACAAATTAGATGCCATTGTACATGTTTGTTTCCCTCCAAAAAAAGAATCACCATAGACTACAGCCTTTAAAAAAACACTTTTGAGACATTTCGCTGGTTTTCTCACACCATTCAGAACCAGATGTCCTTGCACAGTTGATTACAATTCATCTTGTGACACAGGTCAGGGAGGCTTTCCAGCTGCACCTGCAGCTGCATCATAATCAACAGGCCAGGGGTGAAACTGCAGCTGTGATTAGAGTGCGTCTATCCTAAAATGATTTCTCCATTCTGCTCCTTTAATATTTCTTATGCGTTAATTGAGTGATAAAAAAGCTAGCAGAGGCAGATAAACTTGCTGTTGAAAACTTTTGGGAAACACATTGCAAAAGAACAATTTGTGATGGATTCGTGGGCTTCTTCTTTATCTCTTCTTTAAGAGGTAAAGGAGTAATGTGGTGCATCCCTGCTGTTGGCCCTGTGCCTTTCATCTTTGACATATATATAACATAGGGGAAAATACATGTAATTACATTACATGCCATTTAGTCTGATTTGAATATAATCTTTGGAAGAACTACATGTCACATAAAAATCACAAGAAGTAGTTAAGCACCTTGGTCATTGAAGAAGACTCCTGAGGTGGCGGGTTAAATCAACCAGAACAGACATTTTGGCTCAGTGCCATTTACAAACATAAGCAGACTCAACACTGCCACCTATCAGTATCGACGCTGGCCCCTTAAAGCACAATAAATTAAAGTAATTTCCTTCTTCCTCTCCTTATCCTAAACCCCTTGCTCTCAAAGGAGCATATTTCACAGTTGGGTTAAGTCTAGCCCTTTGGGCAATGTGATGGCATTTTACTGCAATGTCAGCCCTGTAATGCAGCTCCTGTTCATTGTTCCAGCATTCAAACAGGCTTAGTTATTGAAAAGCCCCCACACAAAGTGCCACTAGAGCACCTTCGGCATTGAAGGAGAAGACTGAGGTAGCTGGCTAAAGTAATCTTTCAAGTGTTAGTTTACAACAAATTGGTAGTTTAAATGCAACAGCTGCCTTCCTATGTAGCAGATATGACCAGGTTGAACAACCTGTGATTCCAGTAGCATCCCATTCATAAATATGTGAAAAGCATAGGATTAATGTATTTGTCATATCTATTTGCTTGCTAGTTGTTGCTATAATACAGAACTAACATTTCACATGCTAAAAGGAAGTCACTTTCAGTGAAGTCTAAATGTTATGCATAGAACTGGAAGATGGAACAAAACTATTTAGTGGAAGAAAGTGTAGCTGTCTCTTTCCTGAAAATTGGAAGTTATATATATATATATATATTAAAAAATGGAATCTTTTAAATCTATCAGATCTCAGACTGAGATCAGTTGATCAGTAAAATCTTCTTCAAGTTTTGTACACGGCAGATTACTTTGTATTATTGTTTTCCTTTGATAACCCCTACAGCAATAGCATACACAGATATCAGGCAAACATCCATCCATCCATTTCTTTCTGCTTGGGCTTAGAGCACATTCCATCTGCCTCAGGGTGGGAGGCAGGGTACACCTCCAACAGGTCACCAGTCTGTCGCACGACTAACTCACGGACACAGAAAACCATTCATGCTCACATTCACACCTACATTCAGTTTAGATGTAGCCTTGCTATGAATATCTTTGTACTATGGGAGGAAGCTGGAGTATCTGACAACCATGTAAACCTTCAGTCATCTCAAAGAAGAGATAAACTGCTCAAAGCCTGAATAAATGTTTTTACTCCACTTAGGTGAGAATGAAGGACATGCTCTCCACCCAGCTTAAGTCAAATAATCTTTTTCTTTCATTCAGACTCAGTGGATTTGGTCACAGCAGTATTTTAATCTCCTGTCCATTACCTGGATGAAGTGCCAGTGTGCTGCAGTAAGACTGAGGCTAATAAATGCCTATAACCCATATTACTGCTTGCATGTTCTTCCACATGTACACTGATATAAATGGGTTTAAAATGTTCTTTAAAATTGAGATTTTTAAATCGGAATATTATATGGGCCAAATGAGACGAGTCTTTAAATGAAGTATATGAAAAATGCATATGCATAAGTCACTTTTTTTTTAATTTAAGTGAAATTTGCTGGGGGATGGGGATCTTGTCAAAATTGATGTAATTATGATATATATCCATATCCATACATATATGTAGAAGTAAGCAAAAGGTCTTTATAGAGTAAACTTGAATTCATATAGTCACTCGCTGTACTATTTTGGTTGTTGTGGCTTTTACATGTTGTTGGCTGTAGTTTGGGAGGTAGAGCAGGTAAGGTACTCTCCAGAAGGTTGGTGATGCGATCTCTTTCTCCTCCAGTCTTTGAGTATCCTTCGGTAAAATGCTGAATAGGAGGGCGAGTGTGCGTGAATGTTAAACAGAAACTTAATCATAGTGCAAGCTTTGTTTGCCTAAGAAAGGAAAGCAAGCCTTTATGTTGGCTGATACAAAGTCCAACAAAATAGGAGTTCACACAGAACACAAAGGGAAGGCAGCTTGGGAACATGGATGGATGCTGGATACCATGGATGAATAGATGGATGGAGTTTGAGTTCAAAAATCCATCGCCCTATTGTTTTAAGAACAAGCTGTTCATACCAAGCAATTGGTATGGTAATTTACCCAAAAAGTGCTTGTATGAATGGTGTTATTGGGTGAATGAGGCATGTGATAAGTTACAATATAAAAGCACTATATGCTGTAAAAACCAGTCCATTTACTATTTGCATCTTAGCTGATCTATTTATGGTCTTATTTATACCTTATTTTTTCTCTTGATGCAAATATTTAATATGTGTATGTTTGAGTGCATTCGGTATGTCCTTGTTGTGCATTACAAGAGGCTGTTATTTAATGCTGTATAACATATGTACCCACCTGCTCATTAGCAGTAGTCTAGGCAACTAGACTG